CTGCGGCAGCTCTTCACGGCGGGGAGGGGGAGATCGCCGCCCCATCCAGTGCCCGCCACCCCATCCAGGGCCCTACACTCTAGGCGAATGCCTAGTTCGCCTAGCGGGTGAGCCAGCCCTGGGCACCACGTGGGGACCCCTGCTCTACCACGATAACCTTTTCCTCGACAAGACGTATCTGTCAATCCTTGGCTGGCCTCTGAGTGCCCCCGCCCGGCAGACATAATCAACCTGAAAAGTTCCCCTCTTCCTATTTCTTTGTGACAGGGACAGCAAGAGCAGGCCTCGGGGCAGAGATGAAAGTTCTTCCGCTGCTGCCCGTGATCGCCTGTCTTCTTGTCAAAGCCCGGGGCAAGATCTTCAGTCGCTGCGAGCTGGTCTTGAGGCTGGAACATTCGGGATTGGAAGGGTTCCAGGGCTACAGCTTGGCTGACTGTGAGTGGCACACCTCTGGAGGGGGGTCAGTCTGTTTGTTGGTCTGTGTGGGTAGGAAACCGGCTTAATTCGAACTGGCCCGAGCAGCCCGTGTGAGGCTTCCACAGAACAAGAGGAGGTGGAAGCAGAAATGAATGAAGCTCCAGATGGCGAGTTTTTTTATATAGCCAGGTTCTCTGTCTGGTTGCGGAAAACGGTGCTTCATGTGTACAAAACTGTACGTGAGAGTCCATGGGAGGGGCTCAGGTTCAGTGGAAGAGCCTCTGCTTTGCATGCAGAAGGTCCCAGGTTCGGTCCCCCACATCTCCAGTTAAAAGGACCAGCCAGTAGGTGATGTGAAAGGCCTCTGCCTGAGACACTGGAAAGCTGCTGCCCATCTGAGTAGTCGAAGAAGTAGAGATTAGATTTACACCCCGCCCTTCACTACCCGAAGGAGTCTCAGAGCGGCTTACGATCTCCTTCCCTTTCCCCTCCCTACAACAGACACCGTGTGAAGTAGGTGGGGCTGAGAGAGCTCTTATAAGGACTGCCCTTGAGAGAACAGCTCTGAAAGAACTTGTGACTGACCCAAGGTCACACCAGCAGCTGCATGTGGAGGAGCGGGGCATCGAACCTGGTTCTCCCAGATTAGAGTCCGCGCTTTCTAACCACTACACCAAACCGGCTTTCCGTAGACATCACTGACTTTGATGGACTAAAGGTCTGATTCAGTACAAGGCAGCTTCATGTGTCGATGTACTACCTAGCAGCCAATGGCTATAACTACACGTGATGGTTTCTTCCTTGCTTGTGTTATACGGCTTTCCCCCCCTTTTCCAAATTCAGCAGCCAGGATTCCTTATCAAGGGGGAGAATGGTTTCCTTCGCTGCCATTTTCTTGCTGGGAAAAGCCACTCCGAACTGCTGTTGCCACCCACTAGGGGAGAGATGCCTTGACCTGGATGGTCCAGGCCAGGGCTTTTTTTTGTAGAAAAAGCCCAGCAGGAACTCATTAGCATAACAGGCCACACCCACCAGCAGAAACTCATTAGCATAGTAGGCCACACCCCCAACAGCAAAGCACATTAGCATATTAGGCCACACCCCCATGTCACCAGAAGTGTGGTCATCCAACCACGCCCACCTTTTGCTTCTTATTCTGTTTACCTTGTCAAAACCCAGGGCTTTTTTTGTAGCAGGAACTCCTTTGCACGTTAGGCCACACACCCCTAATGTAGCCAATCCTAATGCGTTTCTGCTGTTGGGTGTGGCCTATTATGCTCATGAGTTCCTACTGGGCGTGGCCAACTCAGGAGCCAGCCCGAACTCCGTTCCTGTGCGTTCCTGCCCAAAAATAGCCCTGGTCCAAGCTAGACCGAATCTTGTCAGATCTCAGAAGCTATGCAGGGGTCAGCCTTAGTTAGCACATGGATGGGAGCAGGGCTTTTTTGGGGGGTGGGGGAAGAGATGCCAGAACCCTCAAGAGGGAAACGAAGCTTTCAGTCCGCATACTGAAAACTCATGAACTTTTAAACATTTTTAAAGAGGATTTTGTCTTAGAGGTTCTGGAACAACGTTCCGGCGCATTCCGCCAGGGGAAAAAAAAAAGCCCTGGGTGGGAGACCACCAAGGAAGCCCAGGGTTGCAACACAGAGGCAGGCCATGGCAAAGCACCCCTGTTCCTTCTTGCAATAGAAACCCTACGGGGGTCTGTAGAAGTTGGCTGTGACTTGGTGGCGGGGTGGGGGGGAGGGAGAAACAGGGGAGCCAGTAAGTTTTTCCCCAGCAGGAGCAACAGCCTCTTATGGCTTTTTCTGGTGAGAAAATGGCAGGGGAGGAAAGATGCAGGGGTCATTTCCTGTGGGAGCGCACAGGAGCGGAGCTCCGGCATTAAGGAGCCCAGGGGGCGGGAACATGTGACAAGCCCCACCCCCTGCTTCCAGCAGCCCTCAGTCGGGCCATGAGGAGAAATAAACAGCCAGGTAAGTTGCAGAGGTGCCCCCCCCCCCGGCCGGCTTCAGGTACAACCTCTCCCTCCTATGTGAGGTGTCAGAACCCACAGCCAACAACGGAGTACACACTTTCAAGAAAGGTTATACTTTTATTGAAGAGCTATAGATGCATTAACGTAGTCACTGTTAAGAATGGCAGTTGTCCCTTGGACATAATAAGATATAGGGCATTCGTATGCACCCCCCCCCCACTGCGCTGGCCAATTAGGCACCCTCCCGCACAGGGGCTAAAACCAGCAAACTGTTTCTAGGCGAAGCTCAGAACTGTCCGGCTCCCACGGCTGCCTGGAAAGGCAGACAACACACACTCCCACCTGCACTTCATTATAGATAAGCGTTTCGGCACAAAGCATAGATAGGAACGCGAACGCAATTTACACAGACTTTGACTGAGCATCCCAACCCCCATGGCAGCATAGCTGACATACTGCCCTCTCGAAAATCAACTTCTCCCGCCTATTCTGGGAGTTCTCCCGCCCATTTCGGGAGGTCTCCAGGTCATTCCCCCCCTCCCCATAGCTAGCAAACGAAAACAGTCCAGTGGCACCGTTAAGACCAAGTTTTATTCGGGTATAAGCTCTCCCTCCTCTGCTAGGGCAGATCTGCACGCCCCCCCCAATAGCTAGCAATCCGAAATAGTCCAGTGGAGCCTGAGTGGTGGGTGTTGCCTTCTGACACACTTCCAGTATGCAAATAAGACATTCGCATATGCAAATAAGCTATGCTAATAAGTGATGCTAATGAGCACCTGCACCGCTTTTTCTACGAAATGATCCCTGGACACGGGAAGCTAGTAAAGAGTGAAAGAACATAAGTAGAGCCCTGCTGGATCAGGCCAGTGGTCCAAGTAGTCCAGCATGCTGTTTCACGCAGCCGCCAACCAGTTGCCCTGGAGAGCCCAAACAATCAGGGCACAGAGGCTGAGGCCCATTCCTGAAGCTGCCTCCCAGCGCTGATATTCAGGTTTGCTGCCTCTGAATATGGAGGTTCCCTTAATTCACCATGGCTAGTAGCCATTGATGGATCCGTCTAACCCTCTTTTAAAGCTGTCTGTGCTTGTGGCCATCACTACTTCCACGGGCAGCAGGGTTGCCAACTCTGGGTTGGGAAATTCCTGGATATTTGGGGAGGGCGGGGTTTGGCGAGGGGAGGGACCTCAGATGGGTGTAATGCCATAGAGTCCGTCTTCTAAACCAGCCATTTTCTCCAGGGCAGCCGGTCTCCGTCGTCCGGAGGCCAGTTGCAATTCTGGCAGTGAATTCCACGGTTCGATTACTCGTTGAGTACAAAAGTACTTCCTTTTTATCGTCCAGAACCTATTTACCAAACAATCCCATCGGGTGCCCACCCATCCTAGTATTAAGGGAAAGGGAGAAAAGATTGGATTTATACCCCGCCCTTCACTACCCAAAGGTGTCTCAGAGCGGCTGACAATCTCCTTTCCCTCCCCCTCCCCACAACAGACACCCTGTGAGGTAGAAGAAGAAGAAGAGATTGGATTTATACCCTGCCCTTCACTACCAAAAGGTGTCTCAGAGCGGCTCACAAACTCCTTTCCCTTCCCCTCCCCGCAACAGACACCCTGTGAGGAAAAAGAAGAAGAAGAAGAGATTGGATTTATACCCCGCCCTTCACTACCCAAAGGTGTCTCAGAGCGGCTTACAAACGCCTTTCCCTCCCCCTCCCCACAACAGACACCCTGTGAGGTAAAAGAAGAAGAAGAGATTAGATTTATACCCCGCCCTTCACTACCAAAAGGAGTCTCAGGGCGGCTTACAAATTCCTTTCCCTCCCCCTCCCCACAACAGACACCCTGTGAAGTAGGTGGGACTGAGAGAGCTCTTGACAGAAACTGCTCTTTTTTCAAGAACAGATCTTATCAGAACTACGGCTTGCCCGAGGGCCATCCAGCCAGGTGCAAGGGGAGGAGTGGGGAATCAAACCCGGTTCTCCCAGATTAGAGTCCGCGCATTTAACCACTACGCCAAACTGACTGAGGTCAACGGACTTAGAATGGCATAACTCTGTTTAGGATTGTGCCATAGGTGGCCTTACGTGAGTGACTCTCTCTTCTGTTAGATTCACTGGTATACTAAGCCAGTAATTTCTGTCTTATTTAGGAGAGTGCACAAGGGCCACACACAGCACTAGCTTCTTTGTTCTGTATGTGCTAGCAAAGTTACAGAAGGGCCACTTGTCAGTTTCAAGCTAATAATCCTTAATTCAAGAAACCACATTCTAGATAGTGCAGGTTGAGAGATAGGGGTAGGATCTAGTCTAACTAGCTGTATGTATGCGGATGCAGAATGCATCTGCATCCATGGTGCCAAAGATGGAGAGAAGCATGCTCCTTCTTTGTGTGAGTGTGAGAGAGAAGGGAGAATGGAAAGAAGGAAGCAATTCCCTGAGAGTATCAGTCTACACATCAAAGGGACAGAGGCAGAAGAGTTAACAGGAAAGATGCTCAGAGTTTGCCCGTCTATCTATCTGTCTTGTAACCTCCCTCTGGAGGGAGTGTTTAGCCCTTCTCTTTCGACATCTTCCAGCATCAATTCTCCTCTCTGCTTGGCAATCTGGTGATAACAATTCGAATCTGAACAACTGCGTTGTAAAGATCACCAAGAGAACAAACGTGAGATGCATGGAGAACACCAACAAATAAAGCTAAGCTTTAGGGAGAATACAGTATCCCCCTATCTAGTAGTACACTGGCTGTCTCCTGTGTGGATCATGAAAGTTGCAGGCCAGGTTTTGAGACTGCTCAGATGCAAGGAAAATGTGACCTTATAAATGAACCAAAAGAAGAAGAAGAAAAGATTTTAAATGGCCTGATGAAGATTGAAAATATTGCAGAAGTGAGGGTATGTCGAGAATACCTAAGTGTCAATTGACGGGGAAAGGGGAAAAACGCAGAAGGGAATGAATTTGCTCAAGGCCATTGAAGCTGGAGGGGCAGATTTCGGGGGGAGGGAAGAGATTTCCCAAATCCCCGCCCCCCCAGGCTATTGGCTTTTTATTACAACTCCTTGGTTGCTTGAAGCATATTGATGCTTTTAGTTTTACCAAGGGAACATGTAATTCAAAGCAATAGAAGGATGTTTGCTCGCTCGCCACGCTGCCAGAACACACAAGTAGATATTGTAACGCAGGGAAACGTGCAGAGCTGTGGCAAAATGCGAAAGATGCGGAAGATGGCATTCGCATAAAGAAGTGCTCTGACAACATCGGTGCAACCTGTGGGAGATCTGCCACAGGAGGGTATTTTTGGCAGGAATTAAAGTGTACCTTGCAGTAAAGCTCCCCCTCGTCAAAGGAAAGCTGGAAAGAATTGCTTTTGGTTATACAGGGTAGGATTTGAGATTTTCCTCACCTCTGGTCCTGTTTGTATTTTTTATCCACCCATTTGCCTCAACAATACCGTCCAAACTCCAGGCAGAGAAAATCTGGGAACAATCAACATTTTTTTAAAAAATGTTATTATAACTTATTTCTCTAGGCTAGGGGTCTCCAACACAGTTCCTATGGGCACTGGGGTTGCCAGGTCTGATGTCCGTGCTGGCGGGGGGTGGGAGGGAAATTTCCGGGAGTGGGGTGGAGCGATGCGACACGCTGACATCACACAGGAGTGACATCATAGCGTCAGTGATGTCACACGGCAACACACTCATTTTTGGGCAAAACTTTGTGGTAAAATCGGCAGCTCTCGTTTTTGGGCAAAACTCTGTGGTAAAATCGGCATCAAACCATAGAGTTTTGCCCCAAACCTGGAGCATTGCCGCACAGTGTCCCTGACACGGTGATGTCACTTCTGTGTGTCAGCATGTCGGGGATGTTGCATGGTGACATTGCTGTTTAGGGGCGGGTTTTTCCCCACTGGCCGGCTGGCCACTGGTAGGCGGAAGCCCCCAAAACCAGGGCATCCCCCACTTGAAACTGGGGAATGGCGACTCTAATGGGCATCATGGTGCCCACTGACACCTTTCCTGGTGCCCACCAAATGTTTTTAGGAAATGGGTGGGGTCCAAGTGGGGCTTTTGCCCAAAAAGGCTTCTGATAGCCTCTGGAGATCTGCTTGGCTGTGCGTATTTGCTTTTGGCAGCTGCTGCCACCACAGCACAAGGATCTTCACTGTGTGACTGAGGGTAAGCTGCGGCAGCCATTTTGAGGCTGGCCACCACCTCCTGTGGCAGCCATTTTGTGGCTGTGCTTGCCACCCTGTATCAGAATTCCAAAGGTGCTTGCAGGCTCAAGAAGTTTGGGGAACCCTGCCCTAGGCAATCACAAGGGCAGAAACGTTTTGTCAGACAGAGATTAAGAATCATGAGGGGTTTATTCGGGGCAGTTCCCCCCCCTCTGTGTAGGGTTGCCAAGTGTTACTTACCTCCGCAGTGGGGGACTCCCGGGTGGATCCCGGTGCGCGCGTGCCGCACCAGGAAGTGACATTATGACACCGGGCACACTGGGGGCGGGGCCACGGCAATCCGAGGGGAAACCCCTCGGTCGTGGCCCTGCCCCCAGCGTGCCCGGCGTCATAACATCACTTCCTGGTGACGCGCACGCCGGGGTGGGGTTCTCCTCGGGGCCCGATCTGCTGGCGCTGGGGAACGGGCCTCTGGGGCGGGGGTTTCCCCACCCCCGGGGGGACTTGGCAGCCCTACCTCTGTGCATGCAGTTCTTCCTCCCCCATGTGCTGTCAGAAATTCTGCTTTTGCATGCTGAATCCAGAACATAACCCACAAATCCAAAGAGCCCTCTCCAAACCCAAATTCCAGTCCTGGTTCCTCTTTGTACCGTATACTTCAGTCCTATGCGCCTGAAAAAAATTCCAGCTGCCCAATTGCTACTGTTTATAAATCTGGACTTGGGCAAACTGGATCAATGGGAGATGTGTGGCTCAGTGGAAGAGCATCTGCTGATTTGCAGAAGATCCCTGGTTCAATCCCTGGCATCTCCAGGTAAAAGGATCAGATACTAGGGGTATGTGAGACCCTGGAGAGCTGCTGCCAGTCTGAGTAGACAATACTGACTTTGATGGACCGAGGGTCTGATTCAGTAGAAGGCCGCTTCATGTGTTCATCATGTGTCACGAAGCATTTTATGCGGGACATATCTCATAGCTGGCATATTCTGTTGTTCATCTTCTCACTGAAATCAGTTCTGAGCTCTAGCATAGGAGTCCCCAACACTTTTGAGCCTGTGGGCAACTTTGGATTTTTTACAGGGGTGGTGAGCCCCACCCCCCAAAATGGCTGCCACGGGATGTGGAGCCAAACTCAAAATGGCTGCCACAGGAGGCTGCAGCCTAACCCAAAATGGCTGCCACAGGAGGCCACAGCCTATATTGCCTTCCTTGCTTTGCAAAACAATCACAAAAGTGTGTGTGTGTGTGAGAAAGAGAGAAATGAAGGCAAGCCCAAAGGGGAAGGGGGAGGTAGAAAGAGAACAGGGAATAATAAGAAACAAAGGAAAGCCAGGGAGAGGCAGAAAGGGAGAAAGAGACTGGGGCGTAAAAAGAAGGAAAGCCTGAAGGGAGAAAAACCTTGATCCTCCAGTGGGTACGGCTGTTATTGTAGCTGAGAAAACCCCTTTTGTTTGAATGAGAGCAGCCAATAACAATCTGAACCTTACAAAGGCCCCACCCACTTTCTGAAAGGTACAGCAGGCACCAGGAGAAGTGCTGGTGGGCACCATGTTGGGGAACCCTGCTCTAGCATGTACATTTAACCTGTGGGACTGATCTCTCCCCTTAGGGATCTGCCTGGCATACTTTGCGAGTGACTTTGATACAGCTAAAGTGACACACAATTCAGATGGCAGTTCTGAATACGGCATCTTCCAGATCAACAGTCGTCTCTGGTGTTCTGACCACCACAGTACCACAAAGGACCTGTGTGATATATCGTGCCGTGGTATGCATTTCTGCCAGCAGACAGCTGCAGTTACCTGAACCCATCCCACTGGGCACAGCAATCCTGAAGTCTAGCCTGCCAGTCCAGTGATAGGCAATTGACTGGGACAACCTGTGTGGGTCCTCCACCCGTGGGGCTTCATTCTCTAGAACAGAGGTGTCAAACTTATTTGTTGTGAGGGCCAGATCTGACATAAAAGTTACTTTGTCAGGCCGGGCCGTGTATGCCATAAAATGAAATGCCAGGTACTGGAGATATAAACTTTATAAATGACACAGGCAAGCCCGGTTAACAATATTATATTTTACTCAAAATACAAACGAAAGGAATTGATTAAATCATATGCAAGACTAGATTTCCCCCAAGGAATACCATATCCACCCCCTAGCCATTTCTTTTCATTTCTTGACAGCTTCGACCACAAACATCTCTCCGTGCGCTCCCAGATGCCCCCCCCCCAATCAGTTTCCTACCTTCCCTCTCTCTCTCACCAGTTGCTTGCGGGCTGGATAAGAGCCCTGGATGGGCCGGTTCCAGCCCCCTGGCCGCATGTTTGACACCCCTGCTCTAGAATATGATGCTTCACACCTCAGTCCATTCAATGCACACCTCAAGTGTTCAGTCCATTCAATGCAAATTGCAGCCTCAATTTGTCCTGGGTTGTGCGGAGAAGAGAGGGGAGGTTTAATCCTTCAACCCCCACTCAATTTCACTATTTGAAACTTGAGATACTTGGTTAATATAGCAGAGTCCTAGAAGTGTGGTACTGAGTGCAGTAAATAAATCTCCCAAGAAGTATACTGCAAAAAAGGGAAACTTACATCCGTTCAAGTCGATCTAGTTCACATTCATGTTGCAGTGAAAAGGAGAGAAAAGAGCCTAATCGAAATAGTGCCTTTTCTATCACAAATGGCCAGCTCGTCCAGCATCCTGTATGATTTGATTTGATTTATTGATTTATACCCTGTCCTCCCCTGTGTGGGAGTATGAGGGCATTGTCTCCACAGGAGAGACCTGCGGAGACATGTGTCTCCATGGAAGGCCATGTTGAGAGAGGGAGAGGACAAAGGGGGAGAGAGAGAGAGAGAGAGAAGGGGACAGAGGGCATCCCATTAAAAAGATAACATCTGTACACACTTAGAGTGATGTAGCGCCCCCCTCCCCCCATGCCCAGGCATGCTGTCCCTCACTCTAACAAAAACTGGGGCTCTTTGTTTTACTAGCATATTCATGGGGAGGAAATTAATGTCAAAGGACTAGTCTTCCCTCTTTTAAAGTGCTAACAACAGAGCAGGTAGAGTTCCCAAATCCCCCCGAGGGGGCGGATTTCCCCCCGCTTTCAAGGCCCGATTTCCACCCCGCGCGGAATCGGGCCCGGGGGAAACCCCACCCCGTGTGCGCGTCACCCGGAAGTGACGTCGTACGCTGGGGGGGGACACGCCATTTGAGGGGAAAACTCGTTTTCCCCTCAAATGGCGTGGCCCCGCCCCCAGCGTGCGACGTCACTTCCGGGTGATGCGCACGCAGTGCGCGCGCACGATTTAGACGCCGGCCGGGAGCCCCCCGCTCCCGGCCAAAATCCATTTGGCAACCCCAAGAGCAGGGGAGTCAGTTTTGAATAGTGAAGGTGAAGGGTTAAATCCTTTCTCCCTTCCCTCCATACCTGGGGCAAACTGAGGCAGACAGCTCATTTGTTTGAGCCCTAAGTCTCCTGATAATGGGCTGAAATGAGGCAGCCACACTTAGTTAGTGGCTGTCACCTGGTTAAAGAGGTTTAAGTCAGTCAAGTGTCTGAGCTTTAACCGATTAGTTATTTAGACCAATACACAGGTGTAACATTAAAATTTTTGAGAAAGAAAAACTTGTTTTCCGATTATACATATGCCTCTGTTGGCACTATCTTAGAAGTAGCCTTCTTTCCTTCCTGTGAGAAAGGAGGATTGGTTGACAGAGCAGGGAGTGGATTACAAAGGTAGAAGCTGATGGCGTAAAAGCAAGGCGATGTGTACGAGAAACACGACAATAGACTCCCGTCCTTTAATCTGGATCTAACCCATTGTAACATGTAATGGGTAGCAATGCCTCCAATGGCCGCCAGAGACTTTGTTATCAGGCTCTTTCAGCCAATCACAACCCATCCGCCCTCTTGTGACATCAGGGCCGATCAGCCAGTCCTCGCAAGAGGATTCATCGCCATCGCCTCCAGCAACCAATCTCTTTAGTTCATGACAGTGCAACCTTCCAGAGGGGCGGCCATGTTGTTTCGGTAGCCAAGAAAACAAACACCCAGGGGTCTTGTGGCATCAGAAGGCAGGGTTGCCAATCTCCAGGTGGTGGCTGGGGATCTCCCACTATTACCTCTATCCTCCAGGGCGACAGAGGTCAGTTCGCTTGGAGAAAATGGCCACTTTGGAAGGTGGACTTGACGGTGTCCTACCCCACTGAAGTCCCTCCCCTCCCTAAACCCCTCCCTCCTCAGGCTCCACCCCAAAAATCTCCAGGTATTTCCCAACCGAGAGCTGGCAACCCTATCTGAAGGGCTAGGTTGTGGTTGCATAAAAGTCCCCAGATTTCCCCCCATGAATTATTTTCTTCTGGAATAAAAACCTATTCATCTTTAAGTGCCCCCAAGATTCCCGTTTATTTGTTTTTACTCCAGTGTCCAGTTCTTAACCTTGATATTTTCTCTGTCCCCACTAGATTTGCTCACTGATGACATCACTGATGACATCGATTGTATCAAGAAAGTTGTGCTGGACTCAGAAGGTTTGGATGCCTGGTAAGGGGGGGCAAGTTTGCTTTCCCACAGCCTTAAGAACATCAGAAGAGCCCTGCTGGATCAGAGCAGTGGTCCATCTAGTCCAGCATACTGTCCCACACAGTGGCCAACCAGTTCCTCTGGAGGGCCAACAAGAGGGCATAGAGGCCGAGCATCCTGTCTCACACAGTGGCCAACCAGTTCCTCTGGAGGGCCAACAACAGAGCATAGCGGCCAAGGCCTTCCCCTGATGTTGCCTCCTGGCTCTTGGATTCAGAGGATTAGTACCTCTGAATGTGGAAGTTCCCCGCAGTCACCATGGCTAGTAGCCATTGATAGATTTCTCCTCCATGAAACTATCTAATCCCCCTTTAAAGCTGTTTATTCCCATGGCTATCACTACAGTTTGGTGTAGTGGTTAAGTGCACGGACTCTAATCTGGGAGAACCAGGTTTGATTCGCCGCTCCTCCACTTGAACCTGCTGGATGACCTTGGGCAAGCCGCAGTTCTGGCACAGCTGTTCTCGAAAAAGAGCAGTTCCTGTCAGAGCTCTCTCAGCCCCACCTACCTCACAGGGTGTCTGTGGTGGGGAGGGGAAGGGAAAGGAGTTTGTAAGCCGCTCTGAGACTCCGAGTGAAGGGTGGAGTATAAATCCAATCTCCTCTTCTTCTTCTTCTACATCCTTTTAATCACTCTCTGTGTAAATTACTATTTCCTTCTGTCCCTCCTGAGCCTACCGCCCATCAGCTTCATTGGATGCCCTCGAGTTCCGTCATCTTGGGAGAGGGAGAAAAATGCCTGTTTGTCAACTCGTTCCACCCCATGCCTAATTTTATAAGCCACTATCATGTCGTATCACGGCCCTCGCCTGTGAGTTGCATCCTAGCCTTCCCTGTCTCATCCACGAATACATGAAGCTGCCTTCACGAGTTTTTTGGAACGCCGTCTCGTTTATTAGGGAATCTGGAATGGTTTTTAAAATGATTGACGTACACTAGTATTTTGTATGTTGTAACCCACCCTGAGCCCACCTGTGGGGAGGTTGGGATAGAAATAAACAAATAATTATACTGATTCATACCCTTGGTCCACCATGATCATCCATCTGTTCAGACTGGCAGTAGCTCTCCAGGATCTCAGGCAGAGGTCTTTCACATCACCTACATACAGAGCAGAGGTCCATCAGTGGCTATTAGCCACAATATGGCTGCGAGAGTGGGACTATAAGGAAGGCCGAGCGCCGAATAATAGATTCTTTTGAACTGTGGTGCTGGAGAAGACTCTTGAGAGTCCCTTGGACTGCAAGATCAAATCAGTCAATCCTAAAAGAAATCAACCCTGACTGTTCCCTGGAAGGCCAGATAATGAAACTGAAGCTCAAATACTTTGGCCACTCACTGGAGAAGACCCTGATGCTGGGAAAGATTGAAGGTCGAAGAAGACGGGGACGGCAAAGGATGAGACGGTTAGACAGTGTCATAGATGCAACGAACATGGAATTGAGCAAACTTCAGAGGATGGCGGAAGACAGGAGGGCCTGGCGGGATCTGGTCCATGGGGTTGCGAAGAGTAGGACTCGACTGTGCAATTGAACAAAAAAAATAGATAGGGACTCTCTGGGGCACATGATGCTCTGTCTTCTTGGTGCTTGGGGGGGGGGGCAACAGTAGGAGTGCTCTTAGTGTCCTGGCCCCACTGCTGGACCTCCTGATGGCCCCTGGTATTTTTGGCCACCGTGTGACACAGAGTGTTGGACTGGATGGGCCATTGGCCTGATCCAGCTTGGGCTTCTCTCACGTTCTTATGTACTGCCTGGTCCTTTTTGCCAGAGGTGCCAGGGATTGAACCTGGGACCGTCCGCATGCTAAGCAGAGGCTCTACCTCTGAGCCAAAGCGCCATCCATCCCATGCCATCCAGACATGTCTCCATTCACCCGTCCTCCGCTTTAAGTGCCAGCATTCCATCTTCCAGTTTGGAGCCTTGTGTGTGTGGCGGTGTGGGGTAGATACTACCTCACAGGAGGGGAGATACTAGTGACTGGCTGTCCCCCCCATTAGTCCTCAAGTGGAGCGATCTTTTGGAGATGTACCGGCACCAATTGTGTGGATCCCTTAACAGCTGTGTGCTGAAATCTGGAACTGGAATCCTAGAATCATAGAGTTGGAAGGGCCCTCCAGGGTCATCTAGTCCAGCCCCCTGCACAATGCAGGAAATTCACAAATACCCCCACACACATGCCCCCCCAGTGACCCCTGTTCCATGCCCAGAAGATGGCAAAAAACCTCCAGGATCCCCGGCCAAACTGGCCTGGAGAAGAGTTGCTTCCTGACCCCAAAGTGACCAAATCAGACCCTTGGTCCACCAAGATCATCCATCTGTTCAGACTGGCAGTAGCTCTCCAGGGTCTCAGGCGGAGGTCTTTCACATCACCTACATACGGAGCAGAGGTCCATCCGTGGCTATTAGCCACAAGGTATAGATAGGAACTTTCAGTCTGGGGCAAGGGATGCTCTGTGTTCTTGGTGCTTGGGGGGGGGAAGAGTGGGAGTGCTCCTAGTGTCCTGGCCCCACTGCTGGACCTCCTGATGGCCCCTGGTATTTTTGACCACCGTGTGACACAGAGTGTTGGACTGGATGGGCCAATGGCCTGATCCAGCATGGGCTTCTCTTACGTTCTTATGTACCACCTGGTCCTTTTTGCCGGAGGTGCCAGGGATTGAACCTGGGACCGTCCGCATGCTAAGCAGAGGCTCTACCTCTGAGCCACAGCGCCATCCATCCCATGCCATCCTGACATGTCACCATCCACCCGTTCTTCGCTTTAAGTGCCAGCATTCCATCTTCCGAAGAATAGATTCTTTTGAAGTATGGTGCTGGAGAAGACTCTTGAGAGTCCCTTGGACTGCAAGGAGATCAAATCAGTCAATCCTAAAAGAAATCAACCCTGACTGTTCCCTGGAAGGCTAGATAATGAAACTGAAGCTCAAATACTTTGGCCACCCAATGAGAAGGGAGCACTCCCTGGAGAAGACCCTGATGCTGGGAAAGACTGAAGGTCAAAGAAGACGGGGACGGCAAAGGATGAGATGGTTAGACAGTGTCATAGATGCAGCAAACATGAAAATTGAGCCAACTTCAGAGGACGGCGGAAGACAGGAGGGCTGTGTGCTGAAATCTGGAACTAGAATCCTAGAATCATAGAGTTGGAAGGGACCTCCAGGGTCATCTAGTCCAGCCCCCTGCACAATGCAGGAAATTCACAAATACCTCCCCCCCCACACGCCCCCCAGTGACCCCTGCTCCCTGCCCCGAAGATGGCAAAAAACCTCCAGGATCCCCGGCCAAACTGGCCTGGAGACGAGTTGCTTCCTGACCCCAAAGTGGCAGTCAAGCATTTCCCTGGGTGTGTAAGGAAGGGCCACGAGAACTAAGCCCTGAGGCAACCCTTCCTGCCCTCCCCTCTCGTGATCTGCCCGAGTTCACGGAATCCGCAATGCTGTCAGGTGGCCATCTAGCTTCTGTCTGAAAACCTCCAAAGAAGGAGAGCCCCACTCCAGCTTGTGGGAAAATGCTGTCGTGTTGCAGCTGACGTATGGCAACCCGGAAGGGTTTTCAAGGCAAGAGACAGTCAGAGCTGGTGTGCCCTTGCCTGCCTCTGCATAGCAACTCTGGACTTCCTTGGTGGTCTCCCATCCAAGTACTAACCAGGGCTAGGTTTGCCAGGTCCCCCTTGGCCACCAGTGGGGAAGCTGGGTTGCCAGATCCAGGTTGGGAAACTCCTGGAGATTTGGGGGTGGAGCCTGGGGAGGACAGGGACCTCAGTGGGGTACCATGCCACAGAGTCCCCCCTCCACAGCATCCATTTTCCTCCAGGGGAACTGATCTCTGTAGCCTGGAGATGAGCTGCCATTCTGGAGGATCCCCAGTCCCACCTGGAGGCTGGCAACCCTAGATTTTAAGTAATATGCTGCTGTTGAAAAGTATCGTCCAGTCAGAACCAATTTATGGCAGCCCTGTATGGATTTTGGGGCAAGAGACGAACAGAGGTGGTTTGCCATTGCCTGCCTCTGCATAGCAACCCTTGGTGGTCTTCCATCCAGGTTACTAACCAGGGCTGACCCTGCTTAGCTTTTGAGATCTGATAAGATTGGGCTAGCTTGGGCTATCCAGGTCAGGTCAGGGGCAAACAGAGGTGGTTTTTGCCCTTGCCTGCCTCTGCATAGCGACCCCAACTTCCTTGGTGGCCTCCTTTCTAAATACGAACCAAGGCTGAGCCTGCTTAGCTTGCGAGATCTAACAAGATCGGCCTAGCCTGGTCCATCCAAGTCAGGGAAGAGACAGCCAAAGGTGGAGTCTTGTTGCCTCCCTCTGCACAGCAACCCTGGGCTTCCTGGGTGGTCTCCCGTCCAAGTACTAACCTGGGCCGACCCTCCTTGGCTTCTGAGATCTGATGAGATTGGGCTAGCCGGGGCCATCCAGGTCAGGTCAGGGGCAAACAGAGGTGGTTTTTGCCATTGCCTGCCTCTGCATAGCAACCCTTGGTGGTCTCCCGTCCAAGTACTAACCTGGGCCGACCCTCCTTAGCTTCTGAGATCTGATGAGATCGGGCTCGCCTGGGCCCTCCAGGCCAGGGCTTAAATGGTGGAAAGTGCTGTCTAGTCTTTGCCAGCCCAGGGGTAACCCCATACGGTTTTTAAGGCAAGAGGTGAGCAGGGGTGGTTTGCCGTCGCCTGCCTCCGCATAGCATCCCTGAACTTCCTTGCTGCTCTCCAAGAACTATCCAGGGCCGACCCTGCTTAGCTTCCAGGATCTGGCAGGATCAGGCCAACCTAGCGTCACCCGTTGCCTAAAGACAGGCCAGCCGGTGCAGTCGGGGCCACGATGCCCCAAACAGAAGGCCCTGCAGGAAGATGATTTGGCTGTGTAGAGAGAGCCAGATGTCTCAGGCAAACAGGACAGAAAAAGGATCTAGTGCCGCGAGAAGGGAATCAGAGATCTAGTGCTCACTCAGAGAACCAGTTTGGTGTAGTGGTTCAGTGCGCGGACTCTAGTCTGGGAGAACCGGGTTTGATTCCGCACTCCTCCGCATGCAGCTGCTGGATGATCTTGGGAAAGCCATAGCCCTGTCAGAGCTGGTCTCTCAAGGACAGTTGTCGAAGGAGCTCTCTCAGCCCCACCTACCTCACAGGGTGTCTGTTGTGGGGAGGGGAAGGAATGTATTAGTTGCTGTAGATTTTCCCGGTTGTGTGGCTGTGATCTCGGCATTGTAAGACCTCGTTTTGCCAGTAGCTGTGACTGGCGTCCTCAGCGGTATAACACAGAAAGATGGGGTACTCTCTGTGTCAAGGTGAGAAGAAAAATGGTAGGCAGGTAACTTGTAAGCTGCTCTGAGACCCTGAGTGAAGGGCGGGGTATAAATCCAATCTCTTCTTCTTTAGTTGGTGTAATGTATCCAGTCCTGACAAGTCCAGAAGTCCGGACAAGTCCAGAGACTAACGTCGAGCTTCGCTCCAAGAGACAATAGACAATGCGGATCCTAGCCCGCTCCAATCAGGGGGCTAGGTACCTGGCCGAGAGCCAATGGTACTCTCGGCCACTGTAAATAACCTATTGGGAAGTGGGGGGGTGTTTTGGGTGGCGGTTTCTCAGGGAATATAAGCCGGCCTGCGAGCCGGACGAAGTCATCTTGTTCCTGATCGAATGAAGTACGCTTTGCTGAAATCACTCTCCGTCTGCGTACTTTTCAGTTGGAATGCCTAAAATGTGCGTATTTCTCTTTCTTCCTTTCTCAGGATGGGCTGGAGAGACCACTGCCGGGGCAGGAATCTGAATTACTGGATCAATGCCTGCAACGTGTAAGCCCAGAGGATCAGCAGTGGGATTTCTCTTCTTGGTTCCCAGCCCCGAGCCTGGCGCGGACAGCTGCTTTTAGACGTGACCTGACAGTCAAACAAACCCGATGGGAGCCGCAGAACCATTTCAATAAACGGAATTCCTTTCCTAGAAGGGATCTTTTTTAAAAAATGTGCTTTCTTAGGCCTCCGAAGGGGATTAAGGAAGGAAGGGGAAGGGGATTGTCCTGGAAGGAGAACTGTCCTGATTGACATTTGCTGCCGCGGGGAATGTTTGCACGGGACACGGGTTGCCATCCTCCAGGTGGCACCTGGAGATCTCCTGCTATTACAGTTGAACTCCAGACGGCCAAGATCAGCTCCCCTGGAGAAAATGGCTGCTTTGGAGGGTGGACTGTACGGCATGGTACCCTGCTGAAGTTCCACCTCCAAAACTCCAGGAATCTCCTGTCATGGAGCTGGCAACCTCACCACATTGAAACAACGGATACCCCCCCCCATTGTGAAAGGGCTGAAAGAAGGCGAATACAAGGCTCCTTCGCAGGTGGAAGACACTGCAGGGTTCTGGGGTTGCCAACTCTGGGCTGGGAGATCCCTGGGAATTTGGGAGTGGCGTCTGGGGAGGGCAGAGAGCTCAGCCGGGAGGTTGATGAGGCAGAGTCTGCCCTCTGAAGTTGCCGCTTCCTCCAGGGGAACGGATCTCACTAGCCTGGAGATCAGTTGTACTTATTCAGGGGTCATTTTCTGCGGGAGCGCACAGGAGCGGAGCTCCGGCAGTAAGGAGCCCAGGGGGTGGGTGCATGCAACAAGCCCCACCCCCTGCTCCCAGCAGCCCTCAGTCGGGCCATGAGGAGCAAGCAGCAGCCAGGTAAGTTGCAGAGCCCCCCCCCAATCCCACTTTCAGGTACAAGCTCTCCCTCCTCTGTGAGGACAGATCTGCACGTTCTCCCCCCCCCAAATAGCTAGCAATCCAAAACAATCCAGTGGAGCCTGAGCAGTGGGTGTTGCCTTCTGACACACTTCAGTGATGTCAGGGGGTGTGGCACATGCAAATAAGTTATGCTAATGAGTTATGCTAATGAGCTCCTGCATCTCTTTTTCTACGAAATGACCCATTATTTATTTATTTGTTTATTATTTTCCAATTTGTATCCTGCCTTGCCGGTGCAGACTGGCTCAAGTCGGCTTACAGAGGTTAAAATACAATAAAATACGATTAATTCCCCCCCCCCATGAGAACAGTTAGATAAAGTGCTAGTGTTAAACCGATGGCGGGAACGTCTGTAAATGGTCCGCTGGAGAGAGGCCATATCCGGCGTTGTTCTATAGGGCTGTGGTGTATTCCGTTTGCAATGGTTGTCAGTGGCGGCTCCTAATTGGAGGCCTGGCGGAAGAACTCCGTTTTACAGGCCCTGTGGAACTGTAAAAGCTCCCGCAGGGCCCCCGATGTCCTCCGGGAGCGCGTTCCACCAGTGTGGAGCCGCCACCGAGAAGGCCCTGGCCCTCGTAATGGCCAGTCTGGCGTCTTTTGGGCCGGGGGGGTCAGGCGGTTTTGTGTCCCTGACCTCAGTGCTCTCTGGGGCACATGCGGGGAAAGGCGTTCCCTCAGGTAGGCAGGCCCCCGACCATATAGGGCTTTAAAGGTCAAAAACAGCACCTTGAAACGAAGGCTCCAGGGCGTACCTAGAGGGTGGTAAGCCGGCCTAGATTCATCGAAAAGTGTGAGGCAGCCCTTTGTGGGGCAAAAAAAAGGAGGAAAAGAGGGAGGAGAAGACCATGGCTTGGGACACCCTGGGACAAAACAACAGAACCTGGCACATTCGCTTGGGCAAATTGTCGGTACCCATTGGATTTGGGATGTCCGGCTTGTTCTTCTGCTCGCAGACTCCAGCTCTCCTCTGGCCTCTGCCTCTGTGCAGGAAATGATGTCACAGACCCTCATTTGTAGGTTCTAGAATCCCATGGAAGAGAAGAGGCCAGAAGCTCTTAGGAGCAGCCACCTCCCAGAAGCCCCTGTGGCCTTGGAAGTCTCCCGTGATCCTTCCCTTTCTAAACAAGTACGTCCCGCAGTGCTGACCAGCCTGGTAGGATCACATCCTCTCGTTACAGACTGTGAGCTCGCCGGTGAGCCACTTCGGCCCCCTGCAGGTTCCCCCTAGGCAAGGTGCCATTTTTGGACAGACATTGGCGTTGGCGACTTCCACAAAGGGTATTTGAAAAGGGCAACAATCACAACAGACACTCTTACACTGCTAGTGGGGGGTGCATTTCGGTCTCGATTAGGCCCAAGACTGCCCTCATCTTGACGGCCCAGTCTGGCCCAATCTTGTGAGATCACAGAAGCTTAAGCAGGGATGACCCTGGTTAGCCCTTTGATGGGAGACCAACAAGGAAGGCCAGAGTTGCTATGCAGAGGCAGGCAATGGTAAACCACCGCTGAACGTCTCTGCTCCTGACCTGGATAGCCCAGGCTACCCTGATCTCATCAGGTCTCAGAAGCTAAGCAGGGTTGGGCCTGGTTACTACTTGGATGGGTAGACCACCAAGGGCTTCCTGGGTTGCTATGCAGAGGCAGGCAGTGGCAAACCGCCTCTGAACGTCTCTGCTCCTGACCTAGATAGTCCAGGCTACCCTGATCTCATCAGGTCTCAGAAGCTAAGCAGGGTTGGGCCTGGTTACTACTTGGATGGGTAGACCACCAAGGACTTCCCGGGTTGCTACGCAGAGGCAGGCAATGGCAAACCACCTCTGAACATCTCTGCTCCTGACCTAGATAGTCCAGGCTACCCTGATCTCA